TGCAAGAGGGTCCCAAGAGAAGCCCAAGCTGGTGAGGACCCGCTGTTTGAGCGTCATTCCGAGGAAGCAGCTGGTGCCACTGCTGCGAACACCGGCGAGAAGATGTGGCGAGTGCCCCGCTCACTGCTTTTACTTCACTGTAGAACCAGTCTTCCTGAATGGTCCCCTGATGTAAGCCTTGGATGGTGTTACAGGACATCGGACATGCCGGCGCTGTGCAAGCGCACACTCTCTAAGTGCTTCTTCTTTTCTTGGGTTGACGCTTCAACCACTTGCCGAGGGCCACGCACATGGATGCTGGCCGAGCTTTAGCGATGTTGTGGGACACATCCGACAACGCTCCTGGCCCCTTTTGATCGCCCGTTTCTGAGGGCCTGTCGCCCTGCGTTAGAGAGTTTGGGCGGAGCTTCTTAAAAGCCCTAAACCCTAAACCCTAAACTTTCCACCTTGACCCGCCCTGCGCGAGCTTTCTCACGGTCCTTTCTTCAAACTGGCGCCGGCCTCACAAGTAGGTGTTGGACCTTAGTTGGTGCTTCCCTTTCAGTCATGCCGTTGAGTTGTTGCACATTATGGATCGTGTAGAAGCAGCAATAGACAGCCCTGGCATGAGCCCTCAAGAAGGAAGGCTCGCCTTCCGGCCATGCCTCTTTGGTCCCTCTGGCGATCTTGCGTTCTGTTGCCCGGCCTGTTGCCGGGCCTGTTGCCCGGCCTCGCAGGGCACCATGCCTCCCAGCATTGCATGAGAGTGGTGCAACTTGTTGGTTTTGTTTTTGATGATGTGCGGTGTGACTGGAGGCAGCTGTGTTCCTGCATGATTCCCTGATATAAACCCCCGACATAGAGTCGCCCGGTACTGTCGCCGTAGCTCCGAAGAAGATCTCTCATCGGCCCGAAGGGGAGATCGGACATGTGGGCGCCGTGCTACCGCGCACTTTTCACGTCTCCATCCTGATGACAGGCGCCTTGCGGCACCTTGCTGAGTCCCTTTTTGCCCTTTTTATCGTAGGGTTCCATGATTAAAGCTGAATAGCAGGAGAAAGGGTACCCTGATTAGTACATGCTCGCCTTTTCCAGCATCGTGCAATGTCCAGTGTTCCTGTGCTCTTATGTGGAGGTCCATGCTTGCCTCTGCTGTGTCTAGTCTCGGTGTCTCAGAGGGCAGCGCTGCAGAGTAAGTGCGGTGCAGCTACCGGTGCCTTGCTTGGTAAGGGTGCTCGCACCCAGAGGTGCTATGAGCACTCAGTCATTCAATCAATCCATATGAGATGGGTGAAAATGATCGGACACTGCTCTCTACTTGACCTTAGATTAACCGGTGGTTTGTTTAA